AAAGAGAGTTCTTCCTTCATAGGCAAATCTATTGGGCCTACCATCTCAGCCCACTTTGCTAGCCAACCCCATGTAAGTGGGGTGTTAAGTTAGGGCTAACTCCAATACATGCACAATAAGACATGGGCCTAATTGGATTTAGTACACTTGTATCCTTGGGCCCGTGGAGACTCTTATTAACTTGGGAGGGCTACCATGTAAACTAAGCCCACTTATTTGGCTTAAAAATTCGCATGCCTACAATGTAGACGAAAGATATGAAAACACGTGGATACTTTAGAAAAATACATATAAATTCCATAAATACATCAATTAAACTAACTTTAATGTCTAAATAGCTACAAATAAGGTATAAATACATAAAAACGTATATTTTAATGATATATATGAAGAAATATATTAAAATTAATATAATAGAATGCATAGATATCATGCAATTTTGTTGATAATCCATTAATCAAGAGTCAAAGACTCATATTATATAGATTTTTACAAATTAGCACATGTACAAAGCCATTATTATGTTATATTCTATTTAAGTACAAGACACAAAACATATGTAATTATTATATCAATTATTTTCTATTTTACTGTTTTATTTTTCAACATTAAAAAATTTCAACTAAATATTAAATTTTGAAATGTTTGATAAACAATATATTTATTTTTGTAAACAATAAATAATGTTATTGTAAAATATCAATTGATAAGTTATAAAAATATATAAATCTTAACTTAAAATATATCAAATCCATTAAATTTTCTAAGTTTCATATCATATGAAAATTCATAAATTTTAATTATTAAAATAATTATTTCATTATTAACATTTTTATTTATATAAATTTTTTGAAATAAGAAATCATTTTTGATATAAATGTAAATTAGTGGATATATTCAATTTAATATTATATTCCTGAATGTCTTACAAACAAAATTTTTATTTTTGTAAATAATAAATATGTTATTTTTAGTCTAAATTAAAATATAAATGAGTAAATTATAAAAATATATTAAAATTTTAAGATACATATCATGTACAAATTTATGAATTATAAGTACTAAAATAATTATTTTTATAAATTTCTTTAGAGTAAAAATCAATTTTTTTATATAAATGTAATTTTGATAGATTTTTTATTTTATTAATGTTTTAAAATACTAATTTTTAATATATATATATATATATTAATTTTAAGTTAGAATTGTTGAACATAAATATATGGTCTTTGTTTAGATTGTGTGTTAATAAAAACTTAATAAATTTTATTTTATTTCATTTACTATCATAAGATAAAAGGTGGCTTAGTGGTTCTAAGTGTTTGGTGACAATTTGCTTAGGTGTTGAGATTAAACTTTGAATCACACTATTCTCATTTTTAAATGGGAGATGCATGCATGCATATTAGTGTGTATTGGTCCATATTGGCCAATATAGTGTGATACACACTAATACTAATATGTATATGCACAACTAGACATGTATTGTACCAGTGATAGCATATCCTAAATCGCTTCTTTAAGATACTAATACGTGGCATATTGTATTCATATTTTAAACTTTGTAGACCATGAAAGTTATTTTGTTTTGGGTTAATTACTTATATATATCATGTACATTTGAGAAACCACTTATATATAACTTGAACTTTTAAAACCAATTTATACCTTGTTGAACATTCCAAGGTTAAGTTTAACAAATAAAATGTAAAAGTCTTGAGATACAAATTCAATACCTATGCTTTCAAAAAAAAAAAAAAGAGATGAACCATTTTACCATCTCCAGGGAGCATCGGATTATCTGTTGAGAATAACCTTCACCAAATGATAGGATTGGTAGATTCTTAATTTGGAGTAGCAGAAGCAAGAATCAAAGCAAAGAAAATCATCTATCAACCAAAAAAATAAGAACTCATCATCATTTCCCTTTCTTCTTCTGTAAGTGGAGATTGATTCTCTACATTAATGATGATAAAAGAAACCCAAAAGGCACATGAGAGAGAGATGAAGAGTTGATTTTGTCTCCCAAAACTTACAAAGACAAGAAAAAATGTAAAAATAACATTTCTCATACCCCATGTTGACCGGAATCTGATCAACTGAACAATGTCGAAGATGGAACAGAAATTTTACGCGTATCAAAACCAATAATGATAACACAAGAGGAGATAGAGGGTAAAATTGGGATTTTTTGGAATAGTTTAATGGGCATATGAAACAGTTCTAACGTTTTCTTAACATAAGGCTTGTTTATATCATGTGGGGTTAGTTGAAAAGGCATGTATAGATTGTTTTTGAAAGTTGAGGATATATATAAGTAGTTTCTCAAATGAACAAGGTATATAACCCTACTTTATTTTTTGTGTGGTATTAAGGAGGAGAGAGGACATGCTACACAAATGTAGCCTGCCCATACATCAAATAGAAACATATGCATAACATCAAACAAACATAGCATGTGTTCTTACATTAGCTTTATGTTTTTCTTTTAATAAATCTAAAAATGCTACACAAGATGGGAGGTAGCATGTCCCCACAAATCACTAGAACAATTGGAAGTTAAAGACTAGGAAAGGTCACAAAAGGTTAAGAGATACAAAACCTTGCACATTCATTTAAGCTTCATATGCAAGCTAGTCATTCAGTCAATAGCTTGATTGGCCTCGCAAAGATGTATATATGCCAAACCTTTATCAACAACACATTCAACTCTAGTCCATCATGAATAATGTTCCTAAGTTTCCATGATGGGTTGAGCACTTGTTCCAGTTAAAGTCATCTTTTGAATTCATCATCATACTACATTTTATATTATAACCAAATTTATTTGTGAATTTGCCTTTATAGTTAAATCTCCAAATCATTCTATTTTCCTTAGGGCATGAGGGGATGAAAATTGACTTAATTCTCATCCAAATATTAGTTGGAACAAGATCACACACTCTCTTTTTTATCCAAACTTTTCTTTCTTGATTTAAAGCCTTACTAACTAAAAGGATATTATAAACAATTTGGGATAGCAATTTTTACCCTACTTGATGGGTATTTGCCTTGATGGGGCAGTTTTTTGGTCGAAGGATGGATTTTGGGTTGGGAACGAGTTTTGGGATTCTACAACCCATACAGGTATGGGTAGGGTACAATATTAGGCTAAATCTAATCTTCCCCAACCTACATATTGTTGGAAAGCATATAAAACTTTATATATTAAGTATTGAATTTAATAATATTCTGAAATTTATGAGAAGGATAATTAATAATTTACATGTTTTTTTAAATGTCTTACTCAAATAATTGAAAACTTTGTTGTTTGTTTGTGTTATTTTACTTATTTATTGCTTATATATAACAAGAAATAGAAAATTAGATGTGAATTCCAAACCCAACCCGCTCCTACCCTTGAATGCATAAAGGCAGGTTGGGTAGATGTGGATCAGTGTTTTCAACCCGCCATTGACCCAACCGGTTTAGTCAAGACCCGTCAAACTGTCAAAAATAATTGATTTGGTCAAGAATTGTTTGACCTGACTGATTTGACCATTGACCCGTTCAACTCGGTCATTGGGTCGCAGGTACGCTCAATGCATGCAATCTTTTCGAGGCCATAACTTTGCACTCCAATGTCCGATTGGGGTGTTTTTTTTGTCTTTTTTTTTTACTTTGGGTAACTTTTCAAGATTTATGCATCCTTAGGCACCTTGCCCCGCTATTTTAGCGAAAACTCCCTTTTTGGCCTCAAATTGCAATTTTTAATACTTTTTTATAAATAAAAAATTAAAAACTAAACTAAAAAACATAAATTAAATATAAAAATGCATATAACATATTTATACATAAGATCGAGCTCGAGCTCGACTCGACTTGAGAAAAATGTCTTATAAAAATAAAAAAAGTTGTATATAGAAATATTTTTTATTTGATATTTAAAAAATAAGAATTATAATAATAAGTTATTATTATATATAAAAATAAAAATATTGTATATATAATATTTTTATTATATATTATTTTCTATAATTTATTATTATTATTATTATTATATGCATGCATATATGTATGTATGTATATATGTAGCTATTTGAGCCGGTTCGTGAGCCTCACGAGCCGAGCTTTATTAGGCTCGAGCTCAACTCAATTAATAAATGAGCATGTAAATTTGGCTCAAACTCGGCTTGAAGCTCAGTTGAAACCGAGTCAAACTGAGCTTTTCATGAACCGAACTCGAATAGCTCGTGAAGAGCTTGACTCGTGGCCACCCCTATCTGTGGTGCTGCCGCTGCATCTTGTAAAAGTGTAAATCTTTTTCGTTTGTATTTCTTCAAGACGAAGTTTAAATCCTCCAGGAAAGATGGCAATTTTTTTTTTACTTCCATAGTATGATATTCCCATAGTGAAGTGTTGTCTATTGATATACTTCCATGGTTTGAAACTTACAATCTCCCATTTTCTCTCCGAGTTAATAAAAAATTCTGTATTATTTTTTATGTAATTTATATATATCATTATAAGCTGATAATGAAAAGCAGCAGCAACACCATGGTATGAATTGAATAACCTATTACTCTTTTTTTTGTCTTTGGTTCCAATTATATAGTTACTGATTTATTAACTTTTTGGGATATATTATGTTTTATAACTTTCAATTTTTTTTTTCAATAATTTCCATTTTTTTTAATAACTTTAATTTCTGTTTGTGTATGTTTTGTTTATTTGGGGAAAAATCTAAGATGCAGGAAAGATATGGTATGGGAACTGGGGAAGAGTTTTGTGGCCTTTATTCTTTTTCCACAATTTTGTAACTACTGTTGAAACCTCTGTTTGGGGTATTATTTATCAGATTCGGATGAAATCCGAAATCCGATTAATCCGATCGGATTTGAATTCGGTAAACCTGACCGAATGTCGGATCGAACTCGGATTTAGGTACATCCGATTCGATCCCGATCCGATAAATGGCCTAGGTAAGGTCATATAATATATATATGTCCTGTTGCCTCAGTTTAATACTCAGCCCTAACCGGACCCGACCAGCTGATATCCTGCACGGCTGCACCAAAGAGAAAGAAATCATTGCTGCTCATTTCAGAAACACGGCGAAATAGATTGTCAGCTGTTAATAAACAGTGGGAAAGATAGCGAAACTGAAGAACTCTCCCGCACATTCTCAACACTCCCTAGTCCCTACGTCTGATGGCTACTGTGACCGAAGGGAATCATCTTCACGATGAGATGAAAGGTTTGGCCATTGCTTCGAATTCTACCTCCATTTTCCGACGATTCGACAATTATTTGCAGGTTTATAGTGGGTTCAAATGTTCAATAGATATTTATTTTTCGGAGATAATCTCTAGGGTATAAAGTTAAAGTTTGAATTCTTTTGGTGGGCTCTGCTTTTGCGTCTTGTTTTTTATGATACTTTTGATCATTATATTCAATTCGATTTTAGGTATAGATATTTGGAGTTGGCCGTTGTTCTGTTTTCGATTGTGCTTGATTTTTTTTTGGGCTGTTCGATTGAATTTATCATCTCCAGGCTGGGTTTAGCTCCATAAGAGTTAACCTAACTAGGTTTTGTTCTCCTATTGTGGACGATAAGGGTCTTTTGTCTAGTTTTGGAACTATTAGACATTTCTTCTTCTTCTTTTTTTTCCCTGGGTTTATCCTATCATCAGCTTAGGTCTTTGGTTGGGTGCTTAGAGTAGGCAATTAAGAGAAATTAGTGGCTTAGTCATGCCCTATTGAAGGAGAGTCTCTCACCATGGCAAGGTCTAAAATGGGGCTTCTCCTTTAGAATACTTATTACATCCTTACTCAAGACAGCTTATCATGGCATCATTATTGACCACTCATCATGGTGTGATTTTTGTCCAGTCATCAGTCTACTACAATAACTTACCCTATATATTCCCAAATTCCTTAAATGCATAAACTACTCATGTGATTGGAGTTTTGTTACATTCAGCTGTCACAGATGGGTTCAACATGCATGTGGTTAACTGTTAGTGGAGTTCTGTATCATGCCTCCTCCTTTCGGTTTAGCCTTGTTCTCAAGGCTAGCATCTGGGAACTGCATGCTTAGTCCCTCGAACTCTTACCATCTGGCATCAGCTGGGGCATTCCTTGCCACTAAATTAGTACCTTAGTAATGGCTTGATTCCCTGTCTTCACCATCCAACAATCCAAGGTAGCTGTTGTTTATGGGTGTGTATATCTCCTGCTTCCAACAAGGGTAAAGTTCCACCTGTAACCAAGGTTCAAAGTATTGATACACCCCGATACGGTGCAAGAGGTGTATCGGTACTCTGAACCTTGTGCCCATCCTTATTTTTTAGTTTTTGTTTTCAAAAATAGGTCCCCTGAAATAGGTCAAACTCCCCAATACGTGACAAACCTTTGAGTGGTGATATACGTGACAAACCCCCTGATACGTGACAAGCCTTCTGATTTAGCATATCAGTGACCCCCTGATATGTGACAAATCTTTGAACCTTGCCTGTAACAGATTGATCTCTGACATTCTTTTTCTTCAGCCACAATACATGGAAAAAAGGTCACTGGAAGCTCCACTTTGTAAGCTACTTTGCTGATGCAATGGATGACCTTAAAAGGGCTATGATTCCTAATAGACACTGAACTTTGTCTGTACAGTTGCAGTCTCAAGAAGACCCAGTTACCTACTTAGAAATCATGTTTCAACCTGTCCTTGTTATCCATTCTCTTCATTCTCTTTGGTGCACAGTTGAGGCTCTCCTTTAGTTGTTTTAACACCATCTCTGTTGCAATTTCTCCTCTACTGTATCTATAAAAAAAAAAGTTTCTCCTCTACGGTCTGCATTGTAGTGGTGCTTGACTTCCTGGTGCAAGGGTGAGCAAGGTTGGTTTTGGTAGCCCATACACAACCTGAAAAGGTGTAGTTTTTATGGGGGAGTGGTAGTTGGCATTATACCACCATTCGTCTAGGGGAAGCCATAGTGCCCATGACTGTGGTTGGTCACTTGTGAAGCATTGCAAGTAGGTCTGTAAGCATCGATTTAGAACTTTCATCTGCCCATATGTTTGTGGATGTTATTAATTCATTTTAAGAGATCTATTGGAGTTTAAACCACTTCATCCAGAAGTTGCTTGTAAAAGCTGGATTACTATCACTAATGATGCTCATTGGCATGACATTGAGCTTGTGAACGGTGTCCATGAATACTTCAACCACCATTTGCCCATTGTAGGGGTGAGAATATGCTACAAAATGGCTATACAGCCTATACTTAGAGAGTTGGTCTACTACTACTAGGATGACTGACCTTCAGCCTAAAATTGGCAACCCTTATTTGCAATCCATAGAGATGTTTGTTCATATCTTATTTTTTTTTGATCAGTGTCTAGTCCATATCTTATTAGGAATGGGTAGAGGTTGGAGCAAACCTGATAACCAATGATTTAAAAGATGGCGCATAGGCAAGGTGCATTTTAGGGTATGCAGCTCGCGGCCTCGCCTAGGTTAAAATTATATAATCTTTTTTTATATGTATTAAGAATTTAATACTCTGATATGGACTTGTTTGGGCTTGCCTCAAGGGCTTGGTACAAGGCGACTTGTAGAATCAGGAATGCATAATGTTTGACATTGCATTACCTTTTTGAAGTAATGCAATTGGGAAACAAATTAAAGAGATTGAGAGTTTTACATGCTTGAATATGTTTTATATGTTATGCTTAATTTTATTTTTCAATTTTCATTTTAAATATGTTTCATGCATTATGTTTATGTATTTAGTTTGAGATAATTGTTTTTTTAAACATTTATTTTAAAATTTAAGTTTATATTTTTAATTAATACTATGCTTAATGTTTTTAATTTTTTTTTTTGCATTTTTTGATTTTTTTATCATTTTTTGCATTTTTGTGCCTCACTTTGAAAAGGTGCACACCTCGCCTTGCGCCTCATGCCTTAGGCACAAAATGCCCCTTGTGTGTGTGTGTGTTTTCCGCCTTGCACTTTTAAAACACCGCTGATAATGCTATGCTCTTTGCATTATTTCTTTTACATACCTCAAATTCTTGGATCCATTTCTTCACTTCCTTTGGTAATTTAGCTAGTGGAAAATCATTTTCATGTTATGATGTGTTCTGATAGCCCAAATGCTAGCAGTTAGGGAGCATTTCTTTAAAAACTTTTCTCCTCAAGTTTGATGTTGGGCTGAAACTAACCAACAATTGTGCCACATTAAACCATCACGGGTAGCATGTTTTTGGGGTTTAGTTTCCCTTCATGCCACTCTTTCTCCAACTGTATGAGATATGGTCATTAGACCATTTCCAATTTGGCTTACTTAGTAGGAGTGGGGATGAGACAGTGTTTTAAAAGTGCAAGGTGCAAAAAAAGTGCAAGGGTCAATTTGCGCTTGAGGCGCAAGGTGCAAAAGGCGCTCGCCCTTTTGAAGCAAGGGGCAAAAATACAAAAGAAATGTTAAAAAATAAAAAAAGTCAGAAAATTAAAAAAAACCAAAAAATTTAAAAAATGCAAAAATATTAAATATAATGTTAATAAATAATATAAACTTAAACTTTAAATAAATGTTTTAGAAAACCTATTATCTAAAATTAAAATACATAAACATAACATGTAAATTGTATTCAAATGAAAATTTAAAAATAAAAGCAAACATGTAAAGCATTTTCAAAAATGTAAAACTCACAATCTCTTTTTTTTTTCTTCAATTGCATACTTCAAGTAGCTAATGTGATGTAAAACCTATTGCATTCTTGATTCTATGAGTTGCCTTTGTACCATGCCCCTCGAGGCAAGCCTGAATAAATCCATGTTAGGGTCTTAAACTCTTATTCCTCACATAAGAAGTAATGATTTTATAACTTTAATTGCCTTTTAAGAAGATATTTTATTGAAATGAATGAATGAACAACATTAAAAAAAAGCAAAAACCGCAGAATTTTAACACCAGGGGTGCGCCTAGGATCTGGGCGAGGCGCATACCCTAAAATGCGCCTTGCCTGTGCACCTCAGGCATGCCTATTAGATCACTGGGTTGAGATTGCTTGAATTTCTCCTTCAATTCCTCCTTCCTTTCTATGAAAAGGGCACTGGCCAATCAATTTTGCTTTCATTTTTTGTGTTCCATACTACAGTCAAACCCCAACAGGAAAACCACCTTTTCTGACTTGGCTTGAGTTTTTTCAATCTAAGATGTATTTTAAACTCTTCTGGTCTGTATGGATAACAAATCTTTGTCCCAATAAAAGCAAGCATCAAGAATGTTTTCTTCACTAGCTCTAAGTCATCCTATTAAACTTGGGAAAATCCATTTTCATGACATGGGTTTGAGCACCCTTGAACTGACCAAAAGTATGGTTACTAGCACCTTGTGTAGCCACTGGTGCTGCTGCAGCTGCTGAGGGGCTCTGTTGGGAGACATCTCGTTGTCCTGTGGCTTGTTATATATCTGTCCAAACACCCCAAGATGGTTTTCAACTTCACATAGAGCTTTTCTTGGGAAGCTTTGGGGTGTTGGAACTGTTCTTCCATTTCTGCCATTCTTCCATGTAATTGGTTCTCATCAACCTAGGATCTGTTGTTTCTTAGATCTGAATGTCATATAATCTTCTCAATCAGGGGAAGAGGTAGCCTATTTTCTCTTAGATTTCCCTGAAGCATCAACCTCAACAGGGAGATCAAACCTCTTAGAAAGAAATGACAATCTCATAATAATTGTTTCATTCATTTTTTTTTGAAAAGCAAAATAAAAATTTCATTAAAATAAAAAAGGAGAATACAGAAGGAAGGTGATAAGATATCGCCCGAGAGAGAAGATGACTGCTGAGACACTAAACCTCCACCAGCTACAAGACTATTAGAAAGGAAGACCAACTCCTCTAGGATCATATCATCGAACAACTTCACTATTGAGATGACTGCGGTGCAAGCAAAATGAGCCCAGTGGTAATGGGACCCTAACCTTCCCCTTCAAATACCTCCTCCTGACCATCATCATCTTCATCCCATCTCCCCACCTCCATTTTCCTTTTTCTTCATAGTTTCTTCTTCCTCTTGAACTCTTCGAAGGCTTTCGTAGCGAACTCCTCAATAGAAGAATGCATGGCATTGGAGTACCTTGTAGAGGGGACTAAATGTAAGGCCAGGGGAGGGGACATGTGCCAGCCTCAATAGAAGAATGCATGACATTCTATGTACCACATGTAATCAACTCATTCTTTTATCATCTAATAAAACTCATGTTATCCATAAAAAGAACCCCATATATTCCCAAATTCCTTCAATGCCTTTACTACTTGTGATTGGGTTTTTATTAGATGCAGTTGCCATAGATAGGTTCAACATGCACATGGCTAACCATTAGTGGAATTTTGTATCAAAAATAGCCTGGGTTGATTGTATCTCATACACATTCATTTTTTTTTTTGATAAATAACAGAAGATTTTCATTAATCAAATCAAGCTGTTCACTAAGCGAAAAACATTAGAACAACCAACTGGTTGGTTGGTAAGGCCTCCTGCTGGTTGTAGCAGAGGCTTGGGATTGAATCCCACATGCACCAGTGTTGGGGGATGGGCTACCCCCCGTTGTATAGCCCCTTGGAGCAAAAAAAAAAACATTGTAATAAAACAAAAACAATTTACCTACTACGCTACCAAGATTCCTTTTCTACAAATTACAACCTGGCCCATGGCAATCCCAAAGCAGAAAATCCCTCCCCATTCCATCTCTTGCTAAAGAATCTGCCAACATATTTGTGCTTCTAGGGACCCCACTGGACAAGGCATTCAGGGAGGAACCTAGTGAGACAGCCAGCCTTTCCAAAGCCTTAAATTTCCAAGGTATTTGTTCTTGACCTTTCATCCAGCAAATAACCACTTGACAGTCTCCCTCCACTATTATGTCCCTTCAATCCTGAATCAGAGCCAACATTTCTGCTATTGGAAACTTCCCTCAATCCCTTGTCCCGCTGGGACTGAAAAATAAGCATAACTTCCCTTATACACATTCCTGAGATTTTTTTTTTGTTTAATTTGTTTAGTTTATCGCTTTGGCCCCTTCATTAGTTTTTCTATCAGGTGAGGGTTCTACCTGTGTTTTGCTTTAAGCATGCTAATGCAAAAAAGAAAACATTTACAGGGTTAGTTTTTTTCATATAAATTTATATTTTTGACATTTTGTTTTTATTATTTATATATATATATATATTTTGTTGTACATGGAACCCTTTGTTGGGAATATAACTTCTTAGTTACCTTTTGGATGTTTATTATGGGAACTTCTTTTAATGGTTAAAAAATGCCTTTTGATTTATCACCTTACCAATGGTAGCCTCAGTATCCTTACTGGAACTTGGAGACAATTCAGTTATTTTTACCTGAGCCAAGCATGATTTTTTTTTCTTGCGTCCCACTCTTTTTCCTTTCTTTTCTTTTTGAGGTGGTACCAAGCCTGAAAATTAACCTCCACAAAATAAACTGCTACCAGTCAGTGAGGTTCTTAATCTTTTTAGATCTGATAGCTACCTTGGTTTTAAAATGCTATAGTTATTGGCTTTGTTGTGGATTGCTAGCAATGAGGAATAAAACAAAGATAACTAACATGTTTTTCCCTGATTTTGTAGTTTCAGAGAATGGTGGAGATGCGGATTCTGAAAATGTTCCTGAGGTGGGATGGTACATTCTTGGGGAGAATCAAGAACATGTTGGCCCCTATGCAATTTCAGAGTTACAAGGTGGGCTCTACTTCTTTATTTTTTAATTGTAAATACAAATTTATTAAAAGGAGATTATGATAAGATACAATTTCCAGTGATTAAGAACCTCCAAGACATAAAACCCAAAAAACACCCAAAACCACTTCCTCTTATAGACCACTTCTTCCTTTGCCAAACAACAGCAAAAATACAAAAGAACACCCTATCAAGATCCTCAACACGTACTTTCTTGAGGTGGTTATTTTGACATATTTCTTGTAATTATGGATATAAATGGCACCATAAACAGCCATTATTGTTAGGGTGAGTTATTATAGGGCAACACATTTTTTCCCTTCCTATCATCCAATAGTTAGCCATCTCATGTATCTGCACATTTCTTTCCTTTCTTTTTTTCCTATACTGGTAATGGAGATTTTATTAATCATAAGAAAGTTTTCATATTACAAACTCTCTTAATAATAAAAAACCAGTTCCATCCACAGAGGGTAGAAACCAGTGATTTGAAAGGCGCACCTAGGCACACAAGCAATGTGCATTTTAGGGTATGCGCCTTGCCTAGGTCCCAGGCGGAGTATTTTCAAAAGGCGTGTGCCTGGTGTGCCTTGCACTTCAGCCCAGGCGTGTGCCTTTCGAAAATCTGTGCATTTTTGTTTGTTTTTTTTTTTTTTTTGTTTAGCAGCTGGGCCGCTCTGATTCACTCGCTTCACTTGCTCACTGAAGCTCTGAAAACCCCATATTTGCTAATGTTGCTCATTCATTCATCCTAATAAAAGATATTTTTAAAAGACACTTAAAGTTATAAAACCTTTATTTTATAGGGATTAAGAATTTAAGACCCTAATGTGGTCTTTTTTGGGCTTGCCTTGAGGGGCTTGATATGAAGGCGACTCGTAGAATCAAGAATGCATAATGTTTAACATTACATTAGCTATTTTGAAGTAATGCAATTGGGAAAAAATAAAGAGATTAAGAGTTTACATGCTTGAATATGTTTTATATGTTATGCTTGATTTTATTTAAAAATTTTTATTTTAAATATGCTTTACATGTTATGTTTATGTATTTTAATTTGAGATAATAGGTTTTTTAAGGCATTTATTTTAAAATTTAAGTTTATATTTTTAATTAATAATTTAGTAATCTGCATTATTTTTTGAAAATTTTGAATTATTTTGGCTTTTCTTTTTAATTTTATTTTATTTTTGCGCCTTGCTTCATAAAGGTGGACACCTTGCTAGGCGCAAAATGTTCCTTGCGCTTTTAAAACACTGGTAGAAAAACACCATGACAAAGGCAACATATAGGTAAATACAAGAAAACCAAGGTGGTATCCTACATCTCATGGACTAAGACTTTAATTGAAGAAGGCCAACTATCATTTCCTTATTTAAAATTTCTTGGATGATTCCATTCTGAATCATGTGTATCCCTTTGGCTATTTGGAGCAACATGCCAATCAGATCGTTAGGTTCCATGTTTAATGAGATCTTAGGCTGTTCTGATCAAAGGAAGTGGTAATGATTTTGGGTGGTCTTGAACTCCTGATGCATGCAATGTACTGCCAACTGGGTTTAGTGTGGAATTTCTGTAACTTATGCATATGCTATCTCACCTCTTTTGTTTCTCAGCACAACTGGATAAGGATATATTTTAACCGTAACTTTTCCCTAATTTGGTTGTGTACATGCATGATAACCAAATGTTAGAGGGATGAATTGATCTCTTGGGTTCATGCTTCTGTTCATTGGAACTATTCTTTGGCTGAAAGTTTTATTCTTGTGCATCGATGTGCAAATGCTACAGAACTGTGTGTTTGTGCATGTACACGTGTGTATGACTGTTGTTTCTTTCTTGCTTGAATTCCTCTTTTCCACTTGCACTTTAGATCTGTATGTCTATACGTCAAATATGACAGATCACTATTTAAAATCAACAGAAAAAGCACAGAAATATCTCCTCTCCTATGCTTTTCTTATGAAACATATCTACTTGCATGGAATCATGTTTTAAAAAACAACCCAGAGGCTGCACCGTTTTCGCCTCCAGGTTGTGGGTCACCGGTTCGACTGTCCGGGTCGAATGGGTCAGACCATGCCACACCAGCAATATGTATGTATAAACATGTATTTTATCAATAAATAATGTACAATTATGTTCTACGTGTAATATGTGCATTAATTTATATTTAATTTATGTTTTTAATTTTTATTTGTAAAAAATATTAAAAGTTGCAATTTGAGGGGGGTTATGGGTCATAGCGGAGACTTGGGCTACCCTTGTTGTGTAGCCCTTTAAAAAGATATATAAAAAAAATAAAAGTTGCAATTTGAGGCCAAAAAAGGTTTTTTTTTACACGAGATTAGTAGGACAAAGGCGCCTATAGCCCTTGGATGCATAGATCTTGAAAAGTTATACAAAATAAAAAAAGATGACCCCAACCAGACATTGGAGCCAATGATTTAAAAGGCACGCCTGAGGCCTTGCAACAAAGCCATCAGTTCAGCCTTCAAAGAATTTCTGTAGCCAATCTAAATTTTTAATAACCCCCCCCCCCATTCCAGCCACACCTAGGTTACCAAGAAAGCTCATAGTTCAATTTTACTTTGTTGCCTTATGGGGGTTTCCAATCCATCCTGATTTTGTCCTTTGCTCTTGATGGCTGTGCTATTTCGGTTTAGGCCCCGAAAAAAATCAATTACTGAGAAGGTTTAGAAAATACCCAAAGTCTTTACCCAGAACACAACCTCTATTTTTATACTGTCTATCACCTCTTCCAAATTTTGAATCTTTTCCAAGAAAATTTGACTACTTCTCTCCTTCCACACCACCCAACAAATTGCTACCTTAGTGGCTCTCAAAAGCACTTTTCCCCCTTTTCTTTTGTTGCCTTAAGAAGTTAGGGTTGAAGAGACCTTCCACATCTTGGGGTGGGACCCACCTGCAACCAAAAAGAGAACAAAAAAGCTCCCAAATTCCCAGAACAAAAGGATAGGAGAAAAGTAAATGAGATAAAGTTAGAGCTATAAATTGGGCCATGCCACCCATGACCCAACATGACAGCATGCGGATTGTGCCAAGCATGCACGAAGGTATAGGCGTGCTAGGCCTGGTTTTTCAAGCCCACGGGCTGGCACGACACTACACGACAACGCGGGCCGTGCTGACACGGGCCCGCGGGATAGCACATATATACATAACAATTATATAATTATATACATATTTATATGTATATGTAATAATATTAATAATTATATAATATATATATATATATATAAATTTTTATTTTCAATTTTATTATACTATTTTATTCTAATTATATTGTAATTTTTTTAAATTTCATTTTATTTTTTCATATATAAACAATTGTATACATCATAATTCATATAAAATAAAATTTTGATATTTTTTTTTTCAAATTTTGTCTATTTTGTTATTTTAAAATTTTCATTATTTTCTTTTCAAAAGTTTAAAAAAATGTAACTCTCATGGCTTGGCCTGGCCTGTGAACCAGCCCAGCCCACAACACGACATGGCATGGCTTAGGCCCGCCTTGGCCTGTGCCATGGGCCGTGTTGGGCTGGACCTATGAAGTATCCCAGAGGTAGCAAGCACGACCTGGCTTGCCAAAAGCATGGGCCGCCGTTGGCCATGCCATGCCGTCCCGGCATGACCCAATTTACACTTCTAGATAAAGTCTTGCTGTTACCCCTACAAAGGAAGCACATGTGAGGAGAGAGGCAAACAAAAGGCCTTCTTTTCTGTAGCATGTCACAAGTATTTACCTTACCAAGAAAAATTTCCTAGTAGAGAGCTTGAATTTTGAGTGGGATAGGCTTACTCCAATTTTCTTTAATTGGGAAGTCCACCCCTCGAAAACTGGCCGAGGTAAGGCCGTAAGGGATTTAAAGAAGGATGAGCAAGTAAAGTGGCCATCGGGAGATGTTGACCAAATTCTAGAATCCTCAAGGGAAGAATCCAAAGAAGCCTTCTTTAAGGTTTCAAGTAGGAGAATCAATGACAAACATTCATTTTCCCTTACCCCCCTTCTAAACCCCAAATTCCAGTTCAATCATCACCTTCCCCTCAAGGGTGGTCATGCTGGTGATTTTATCTTGCTTAACTCCAGGTCCAGTATGACTGCATTGTCTTCAATGGGATAAGGGCTGCTTTCTCAATTGACGTAAACATTGCCATGACATCTTGCAAGACTCCTTCCCAATTTTCCATCTTTGCCAATCTAACCACTTTCACCATTCCTCCAAACTACCTTCCTCCATCAATTTTGAGCAAAGGGAAATGCCACACATCCCTTTGATATCCTTTGTCTTCTCTTTCTCATTGTATATTTCAGTTTTTTGTCTAGCCTCTAAGACTTCTAACGGAGTAGCAGGTGATTTTGCTGCCCTTTCCACTAATCATCTTCTCTGTTTGTAATCGTCTAAAGCTTCTGCAAACTTCAGCCATCCTTGTTTTCCTTTTCTTTCTGGAATACAAAACATCTGTTTCTTGCTATTCCCAAACAGTTCACTCAACTGAATGAAATCTCCTCTGTTGTTATTCTTTTTCTCCATAATAATTTTTTTCCTCTGTAGATCTAATTCTACTTTCCATCCTGACTCAGTAATTGTGAAGATTGTGCCATCTATGAATCCTTTAAGCCAACTTGAAGCCTCTTTACTTAGAACCATCACAGATCTTTTGTCTTCTCTGATTTTGGTTGCCAGGCCTCCTGTTTCTTCCAGCAGAAACCTTTTTGTTTCCATGGTCAGTACCTTCATCCATCTAGTCATCGGTACAAACTTCTCCATTTTTGAGCTTGGCAGCCTCTCTATTTCCGTCGTCCAAATCATTATTCATTAATTCAACTATAAGCCTTATACATTATCAAGAATGTTTTCTTTGAAGGATCAATATAACATAGTTTGTTATATTGTAGGATGTACCTTTGTTGCTTAGGCTGTGTTTTCCTTGCCTGAATTTGGATGTGCCTTATTCTGTTCTTCTCCATTGTCTTTTTTGGCAATATCTCCATCTTCAATGCAGAGTTATTAATGTGGTAAAGCAATGACTAGTAGACCACAGAAAAGATACATGCTAAATATTAGATATTGATATCTCATATATAAGTTAATGTAGACTACAAATATGCAATAGAAGAATTCTATAGAACATTTAATTTAAAATCTTTGTTTAGAACATATAGAAAAGGAAGGGTGGATGGGGAGCAATAGCCCTTTTTTTCAGAGATAGAGTGCAACCTTGACTATTCAGTGTTCCCTTTTGTGTGTTACAACTCGTACCAGCACACCACTGATCTGAGGAAAACTTAAAATAACTCCTCCACTGTCTTCTTTTATTTTGTTTTTGATCAGCAATTCATCATCCACTGCCTTCTTTTATTATGTGCCGTATTTCTTTTTATATACTGTAAACCAACAATATAAGAACACAATTGCATAAAGCAACTAGCATGCATTTACCAAAATAAAAGCATATATTTATATTTGTATTTATATTTACCTATAAAAAGCATATATTTGGTTCATGTAAGTGAGCCTGACAGCCTGAGAGGGTTAATATACTGTAGATGTCATTGTTTAGTTTCCAGTGGAAAAGCATTTGGATGAATACAGGCTTGAGTAGGTGCTATGTTCATTTCAGATTTTGACACCTTCATTATTATTTTTATCCTTGTGTGCATACAAAATATTGGAATATGTTTTAATTGACTGCTATGTGGTGCCTCTTTTTCAGTGGCTTGACTCTTGTGACATCATACTCTGATAACTGGAAATGAAACCTTTCATCTGATCATTGATGAAATAATTTTTTTGTCAGTATTTGCTTACCTCATTGTACTACCAGTAGACAGTTCCACCCTTGATGCACAAAAATTCCATCTATACCATATTCAAATGGTTTAGTGAGTTATTGAACTACCTGCTTACCTGTATTTGCCTTTTCTGGGTAGAGCACTTCTTGAATGGATATCTCTCCGAAAATACACTTCTGTGGTCCGAAGGGAGGAGTGATTGGATGCCATTGTCCTTGATTCCTGAATTGTTTACAAGCATTTCTCAACAGGGACCTGATCCTACAGGTAAAGAGAGTTGCCATCCTAGTTTAATATCCAGGTTTATAGCTCCTCACCATGCAGTATATTGTGCAGTGACCTCAGACAATGATGATGAATTCCTGAAATGGCAAAAAGAGGTCAAAGAGGCAGAGGCTGAAGCCGAGGCATTGAAGGCTTGTGGCACCTCTGGTCATGTGGGCGATGCTGATCATTTGAACGACATGGTGGGTGATGCTGATGATAGGCCTCAGACACCACCAGATGGTGAGGAAGAATTCACTGATGATGATGGAACTACTTACAAGTGGGACCGTGGTCTTAGAGCATGGGTTCCTCAAGTAGGTGTTTGGATGTCTGCATTAAGATACATACATATATTTTGAGGGTGGTTGTACAACCATGTTAGGTTTTTTATCTGTTACTGTTGCTTAGATTTTGGGAGTGACCATATTTCTATTTTAGGATAATTCGTTTTCTAGAGGTAAAGAATATGGAGTAGAAGATATGATCTACTTGCAAGAAGAAGAGGTCTTTGCAACACCAAAGGTTGCTGAACCCTCTAAAAAAGAAGAAGCATCTGGTACCACTGAGGTAGTAGATGCAAAACCTGATGTAAAGCGAAAATTACCTGACAAGCAGACAGAGAAGAAGGTATTCCTTCAGTTTATTTCTTTTGTAATTGCTGATTCATTTGCTTTAGATTACATTAATATGGGCTTTGTGGTTAGTTTCTTCCTCGTCATATTTTGTGAAGTAGTATTGCCATGAACTACAGATTTAGTTCTTTTGTTTAACATTTTTCTTTTTTTTTGGGGGGGGGGGAGGAGGGAGGTGCATAAGATATATTGATTGGATCACCTACATATGATGCTGTCTTTTTCACAAGTTAACTTTCCAGGTCTAGTCTTTCCATGTATGCTACTAAACATTTGATGATGAGTCATGCTGGTACCTTTTTTGTTCTTTTACAGCAAGCTAATAAGCCCCCTGATAGTTGGTTTGACTTGAAAGTCAATACACATGTGTATATAACTGGGTTGCCTGATGATGTTACTGCTGAAGAAGTAAGTCATGGTTTTCTTCTTTTCTCAAATTAGTTATTCACTTTGACCATGCTGCCACATAGAGATATATTGTTTTAGTGTCTGTCTGGAGAACATGAAACTCTAGCTGGTAGTTTACTGTTTTTTTTTTAACTTCATTTGGTCATTTTATATTCTGCTGACGGATGACACTAATTTTGTGTTAACTTGCAGATAGTGGAAGTATTTTCTAAATGTGGCGTCATAAAGGAGGTGGGGAGGCTAACTATGTTGCTGTTTCTTTCTCTTCTCATCAATGTTTTCCATGTCTTCTTTCATTGGTGCTACTATTTTGGGTGTTGAACAGTTGAAGTGAAAAACAAACATTTCCACAGTTGATCTTATAATGAAATGTAATTTCACAAGCATAATTTACCTATTAGTAGTGAAAAGATCAAGGAGAAATGAAGAAAAAAGAAGAAAAGAAATGAAAAAGGGCGAGAACCAATAAGGAGAAGAAAAGAGAAAGAGGAGAGAGTTTAAGCCTGAAAAAGTGAGGCCAATGCTCCATGAATTAGCATTAGGAGTGCAAGTTGGGTTTAGGTCAACCCTGACCCAACCCGAGCTGTTGAAACTTGAACCCCCAACTCCAACCCTAAAACTTCAGGTTCGGTTCAGGTTGGCTTGGCTTCACTACTTCCTTTTGCCAAATATTCTTATTTCCTAGGTTCAAGGGTTCAGGTTAATTCAATGTTAGCATTATTATGTGTAAAACAACATAGTTATCATGTTTTAGAAAAAACTTTGCCTTTAAATTTTTGACATACAATATACATTAGATAGATAGATACATACATACAGAATACAGACATAAATTGTGGGCAAACTGTTTTCTTGGTCATCAGCTCAGTTTAACTTGAACAGTTCAGATTTTAGTTCCCTTTTGATTATGTAAATCTTTTTGTAATTGCTGATGGGATAGTGGCTTAGTTTTTTTGTCTGGTTCTCCCTGTTATAGCCTCTAGTTGTGCAGGGCATTTTATTTCTCTTAATGAAAATCATACTTTACCTGTTCTCAAAAAAATATGTATGATATTTATATATTCATATATACATAAGTATTTACATACATATATAAATATATGTTCATATAATATTTATACATACAAATATGAAGTTAAGCCAAGTTCGGGTTGGGTTGGGTTGGGTTAATCAATGCTTCAATCCTAACCCAACCTGAAGTTAAGTCAGGTTCAAATCATACTTTACCTGTTCTCAAAAAAATGTATGATATTTATATATTCATATATACATAAGTATTTACATACATATATAAATATATGTTCATATGATACTTATACATACAAATATGAAGTTAAGCCAAGTTCGGGTTGGGTTAATCAATGCCTCAATCCCAACCCAACCCGAAGTTAAGTCAGGTTCATACTTTTCAACCCTAGCCCTAACCCAAATTCCAACCCAACTGGCTTTTTTGGGTTGGTTCGGGCTAACCTGGCCCAAGTTGCAGCTTTATTAGCATATATTATCATGAATAAAATTACAAAGATTCCCTTGATTAGTATAGAAATAGAAAAGGCACATGAAAATGATAGAAATATCCCTGATTAGGGAAAGCTTACACTCCCCATCAAGTTCAACATAGATATCACACATGCCCATCTTACAACTTCAAATTTTAGCTTTGTAACTCCCTTAGTTAGAACATCTGCTAGCTGGTCTTGAGTTTGAACATATGGATGACTGAAGCTGGACAACTTCAAATTTCCTTTTCTGATCAGACCTTGGATGACTGAAGCTGGACAGCACTACTTAAGAGCAAAAACACTAAACACTCTCACCCAAATGTTACGGGTGAAGCAGCAATGAAGTCACAGATGATCACCTGATTCTTCTACTCTGTTACAAAGCACACACTCTGGTGCATCAATCACCATTCCCCTGCTAATCAGGATGTCCTTTGTGAGGATTTTGTTCAGGTAGGCTGACCAGACAAAAAAAAAGCTACTTTTGAGACGGTAAGCTTGCATCAGATTATGTTCAAGGGAAAATCCTGCTCTTCCTCTCAGGTCAGCTTATTGTAAAGAGATTTAACTGTAAACCGACCCTTACTATCCTCTGGTCACACCCTCCTATCATCTGAATTCCAATCAATTTGCATGCTATACAGCTTCTGAAGTGGTCTCTTCCGAATGGTTCAATCTCACAATCATTCAGATCTCTCCTGAACTGAAGGTGCCAAATGTGTTCTCCATTTTGGAACCGCACATATTCAGCCTCTTTTGCCTCCTTATCTACTGCATCAGCAAAGATCTCCGGGAATTCATTCTTTAAAGAATCCATTCCACACCAACAGTCCTTCCAAAATCTGACCCTAGTATCCCTCCCCACTTTCGCCTCCTTACAAGGACATCACTATTACCAGCATTCAACGTATGATTGGGCTTAATGGGTGTTTCAGTAAGTTTGGTAGCCATCTTTCCTTCCTATTTCAACAAGTCAAAAACATGCTTCCTTTGTGAGATGAACACCTCCTTTTATGGATCTAGCAGCTTCAATTCCTAGAAAGTATCCAAGAATTCTAAGATCCTTGATCTCAAATTCTATAGTTAGGAATTGGTTCATCCTTTGTAAGATGAACACCTCCTTTTATGGAGCTATTAGCCACTAGCAACTAGTTTCTCAACCAATGTTTTGCCCTTGTTAAAATGCACTCCTTAAGTTCTGAGTGACTTTTTCTTTCTCATGGAAGATTCTGCTGTTCCTTTCTTCCCAAATTGTCCAAAAGGTAGCTGCTCTAATACTCTTCCACATAATTTCCCCCCTCTTTGTGGGCCAAACAAATAGAGCAAATAAAATAATAAGCTTACTACTACTGGTAGGTTCCACCTACACACTGCACTCAAACAAAGTGAAAATCCAACTCCAAAAAGCTGCGTCCAAAGGACAAGATAGAAACAAGTGAGAGCAAGTCTCCCCACTAGCTTTGCACAAAAAGCACCAGTTAGGGGACAGACACAAGAAAGGTCTTCTCTTTTGTAGGTTGTCCAAAGTGTTATCTTTCCATGAAACACTTCCCAACAAAAAATAGCAATTTTGGGTGGCACCTGCTTAAACCAAAGTTCCTTAATTGGAAACACCCTTGGTATAGGGTGGAAACAAGGGGCCTTGAAAAAGGAGGCACAAGAAAAGGTACCTTTTGGGCTGGGTGACCAAAGCCTTCTAATGAGCTTGGAAGGGTCCAAATCACTGTTTTCACAGGCGTGGGAGGTGTACACGCCTCCAGGCGGGGCGCCCCTAAAATTCCCTAAGGTGTAGGCCAGAGGCACTGACATCTCTGAGGCATACAACTCAGGTGCAAGAGGCGTATGCCTCGTACGCATTTTTCATGAGGCATACTAGAGGTGTACACTTCATCCACCTCATGCACACTTCATTCTTTCTAAGAATGAAAGGGAAGGGAAAAATAGATAAGGGGACAAGACCCCTCCCCCTTTCCACTAGTTTTATGCATCATTCTTTTTAATATAAAATATTTTTATTAAAAATAAAGAAAAATGGGATTCTCATTCATCTTCTTCCTCCTCATCTCCCTCCTCTTAAGGAGGCTTATGCCTCCTTGTTTTCAGGAAGCTTACGCCTCTTATGTTTTGAACTATGCCTCACGCCTCTACTAGTGGAATGTGTCGCGTCACGCTTCCGCATTTTAAAATATTGGTCTTGACAGAACTATCAAGAAGAAGCAAAAGTTTAGAAGCACAAGGGGCCTCATCATCCCTCAACCCCCTCTTGAAGCCGAAATCCCAAGTCAAGGACAAAGGAAGAATAGGTGAGGAGAGTAAGTTGGAAACAACCTCTTTCCTAACCAAAGAAATAGATTAAAGAGATGGGAAGAGATCCTTTAGAGACTAATTACCCACCCAAATGTCCTCCCAAAAGAGTACAGAGTCACCACTACAAACGTCATACCAAGCAAAGTTGAGAAAAAGAGGAAGGATACTGTGAATAGCTCTACAGGGTGTTACCATAGTAGCCTGATGAGAGACGCCAGCACCCCAACCATTTTCCAAGACTTCGTGAATACTCACAATTATCTCATGCCACAACTTGCCTCTTATTGAAGGCCATCTCCATAACCACTTCCCCAACAACGCAGAGTTCCTACTCCATAAATTCCCTAATAAACCCAAACCACCTTCTTTCTTACTCCGAGACACTTTCCTAGCTTACTAGATGGAGTTCAGATCTGTGCCCCACAACGTCCCACATCGCATCCCTGCCTTGTATTGAGAACATCTCCCGATGATGACATCATCGGGTCTGGTATTATCATCGGGAGATGTTCCCAATACACGGTGGGGATGCGCTGTGGGACATTGTGGGGCGCAGATGTGAACTCTACTAGATGTGAACTCTAAGAAATGTAATTCTTTTTCCATGAAGCCAATCTCTTTTCAAAATTTTCAACCACTGGATCTCAAGTCTGGTGTAGGGATAGGAAGCATCAAACTTAGGAACCAGGCACTTTTGGGTAAATGGTTGTGGAGGTTTCCTTTGGAACAGGAGAACTTATGGCATAATGTAATTGCAAGCATTCATGGCATGGCTGCATGGCAGACAACGGATGGGATGCTGGTCTCAATCCTAGGGCAACACGGGGTTCTCCTTGGAAAGCAATTCACAGTTTGCTACCTTCTTTCCTTCCACTGGTCAGGTATGATGCTTGTGTGGGTAACAAAGTATGCTTCCAGGAGGATATCTGGTTTGGGGACACTCCTCTCAAAGGCAGATTTCCACCTATCTATTCCTTGTCCCTCAACAAAGGGAGAGTGATTTCTTCAGTGCTTGTTAATGAAAATTCCTGGGATCTAGGATTAAGGAGAGGGTTATGGGAATCTGAATTGGGCTTAGTAGATGGTCTTATCTCCCTTCTTAATACTGCATTCCTGGACCTTTCTTGTCAAGACAATAGGATTTGGTCGGTGTCTCCTTCTAGCTCCTTTACCTGTGCCTCTTTTTTCTTCACCCTCCTTCAATCCTTGCACCCAGGAGGCTCCTTTCCTACAAAGGAAGTCTGGTGTAATCCTGTACCCCCAAGATATGAGCCTTTTGTTGGGAGGTGGTGCTCCAGAAAATCAATACTCTGGATAATTTACAAAAAAGGAGGCTGAATCACTGCCTCTCCCCTTATGTTTGTTGCCTTTGCTTGGGAAATGGTGAGGCAATAACACGTCTTTTACTTTCTTGTCCCTTTGCTTCTTGTGTGTGGAGTTGGTTTTCTTCCTTATTTTGGTTGTAGGTGGATCCCTCCCCCGAATGTAACAAGTCTCTTCAACCCAAGTTTCTTCCTATTACCAAAGAAAATGGGAAAAGTGATGTGGAGGGAAATAAGAGAAGCCATTCTTTGGTCTTTATGGGAGGAAAGGAATAACAGATTATTCGAAGGGGCACAAAGATCAAAAGAACAAATCATTGACTGCGTAGCCAATAAAGTCATACATTGGCTGAAAGTTAGTGACTTATTTAAAGACTTTTCAGTGGATGATATACAAAGGGGTTGGTCAACAGTGGCAAACTCTTCAACCAGACAGTTTGTTCTTCAGCCTTTTTGGACACCTGCAGCACAACAAAGGGTAAAATTAAACTTTGATGGAAGCTCCATAGGTAATCTAGGACCCTTCGGAGATGGGGGAGTCTTCAGGGATGGGGAGGGCAGAATGGTGGCACTATACTCTGGCCCCATAGGAGTGGGAGATTCTTTGAGAGCTGAAATTTTGACTCTCCTACAAGGCCTGAGATTTGCCAATGCAATGGGGATTTCAGAAATTGGAGGTGGAAGGGGATTCTAAACTGTTAATAGGGTGGGTGCAAACAAAGAGGTTGGGTGTATGGAATTTTAGACAGCAAATAAGGGAAATAATCTGCTTGGAAAGGGAAGCTGGAGTAACTTTCAAATGGGTAAGGAGGTCAACCAACTCTCTGACAGATAGATTGGCAAAGCAGGGGACCTTTAGGGAAAACTTGTTTTGGGCTGTACTGTAATTCTTGAAGTTGTTTTGGGGTCAATACTCATTGTTTGAGTGGTTGATAGTGTATGATGTTTAATTGATATCTTTAATGAAAATTACCGTTTCCAATAAAAAAAGAAATCTACTCTCCCTTGGGTTGGCTCCCAGGGGAAAACCTAAGTACTTAAGTGGCCAGGAGGAAACAGAACAACCTAGGCAATCTGCAATAGACTCTTTAACCGCAAAACCCAAATTGAGACCCACCACACAACTCTTGTCCATATTAATCTTCAATTAGAAATGTTTTGGAAGTAGCAAATTAGATTTTTGACAAAAAGTTATGATATCGTCAGCAAACTGAAGTGGGTCACTGACACACCATTTCTATCTCCTCCAACCACTTAGTGCCTCAATCCTATCGGCTTTTGTAATCAACCTGCTGAAGACATCAGCCACGGGTGAATAAGAAGGGGGAGAGAGGATCACTTTGTCTAAGGCTTCTACAAGCTGGAAAAAAAAATGCTTAACTACCCCGTTAACTAAAACCAAGTAGTGACAAGAACTTGGAGATCCACTTATCATAGTTTTCAAGGCGCCAAGGCGAGGCTAGGCGACAGGGGGGCGCCTTGTCGCCTAGGCGATGGATATTTTTATGTAGAAAACATAGATCCTAGGGTAGTTACCTAGGTACCATAACCATATTTCCTTAAGAATTATTCATAATTTTCATAAGAAAAGTATAGAGTTCATGTTGAAGTATAGAAAATCAACATATTCACGAGAAGAAAAAGAAGGAAAAGAAAATTCAAAAAATATAGGGGCTCAACCCTTATTTTTTGTTATAGGAAAGGAAGAAAAGAAAATGTGTTGATTAGACAAAATTTTAAGTTCTTCCTTACTTATTGGTTTAGGTTTTAAAGTCTTTGGGGGTTCAATACAGCATTTAGCAATGTTTATATTGATTAAACCCTAACAAATAAGAAAATAATAAAAAGAAATTAGTATATAAACACACAAAATGAATATTTTAGTTTACTAGTGCCTATTGTATAATTATAATGTGAAAAAATAAAGAATAAAAAGTATTTTATAATACATAGTACAAAACTGTTTGGCGATTAGTCAAGGTGGGACTCAAAGGGTGCCTTGTCGCCTAGGCGTTGCCTTGACAACTATGCCACCTATCCACTTGCACCATCTATCTCCAAAACCACAATTGTTGAACACCTCAAGAAGGAAATCCCAATCCACCGGATCATAGGCCTTTTCAATATCCAATTTGCATACAAACCCTTGATTGCAAGACCTCCTCATCTCCTCTACACACTCATTGGCTATTAAAAATCTGATTATTTATTTGTCTACCTTGCACAAAGGCTCCTTGAGCTTGTTTAACGAGAGAGAGGAGATGAGGAGGTCTGACTATCAAGGGTTTGTATGCAAATTGGATATTGAAAAGGCCTATGATCTGGTGGATTGGGATTTCCTTCTTAAGGTGCTCAACAATTGTGGTTTTGGAGATAGATGGTGCAAGTGGATAAGTGGCATAGTTGTCAAGGCGATGCCTAGGCGCGATGCGGCACCCTTTGAGGCTCGCCTTGCCTAATCGCCCTTGAGCTTGTCTCCTCTACACACTCATCTCTCCTACCTAGTCACTAAGCTAATAGGTCTGAAATCCCTAGGTTGACAAGCCCCTGATTTTTAGGAATTAGGGCTAAAAAAGTTGCATTAACTGCATGGCTGATTATATGCTTGTCCTCAAACTCTCTAAAAACCTCAACGGGATCATCTTTAATTACATCCCAACAGTCTTAATAAAAAGCCATGGTGAAACCATCTGGGCCTGGTCCATAAACATTTGTCAAGATCCATTCAAAATCTTCCTCCACCTGTCGGAATTTAATTGAGATTGTAAATCGACCTATCAATTCCTCTTTGCCTTCTACTACCTCGTTTCTCCACAACATTATAATTCCTCTCGAGGCTCCCCAAGAGGGTGACACAGCCCAACTCAGGCCTCTAATTCTTATTTCATTATGATATAGTGATGGGTTCAACCTTACTTTGATGAAAAATATTTTAAATTTCACATTGCGGTGAGTGTGGATTGATCATGCAACCTTCAAATCTTCAGTCTGATGCTCTCCCAACTGAGCTATCCCTGCTTGTGGGGTTAAACCTTACTTTCATAAAATGGATAGTTCAATATGTATTTCATGTTTATTAGAATTATTGTGGATTTTATAATTTTGTACCTTGTCATGTGTTATCTGACAGATTGGTGTATTAAAATTTCTAGGATCCTGAAACAAGAAAGCCTCGGGTGAAGATTTATGTTGACAAGGAAACAGGAAGGAAAAAAGGGGATGCACTTGTGTCATACTTGAAGGTATTTTCTTCTAAATAAAACTTCTTGTTTTAAAGAAGGGGGTGGGAAATAAAATTATTACATTTGTTTATGTTTTGTTTTCCCATTGATTAGGAACCTTCAGTAGTTCTTGCTATTCAAATTTTGGATGGGACACCTCTCCGTCCTGGTGGCAAGGTTCCTATGTCAGTAACCCAAGCTAAGTTTGAGCAGAAAGGTAGCTTCTTGTTAAAAGTGCTCCTGTGAGGCTAAATTAGATTAGATTTGGATAATTTCCATAAACTTTTTTGTATTACTAATATTAGGTTCATCTTCTACTGCAAGAAAAGTTATTTCAATTGTTTTTCAGGACTGGGATCATGGAACATTGTACCAAACAGCTTTCTTACATGTCCTATACAGGGGATAAATTTATAGCAAAACAAGTAGACAAGAAAAAGAAAAAGAAATTGAAGAAGGCTGAAGAGAAGATACTTGGCTGGGGTAAGGTCTTGTCCTACATATTTAACATCTTATGTTGATAAATATATTGGCTAACTGTTTGACTTGTAACAAATCTGCTTAAATAAGCTGCAAGTCAGATTCATTTCAGTAGAAGTTCTTGCCATCTCTCTACACTTTCTTATAATGTCATCTACCGTAAAGTTGGGAAACTGTCCAAGGGCTTAGCTCAATGAGCCACTCTGATAGTGATACACTCATTGCTACTTCTGCAGTTCTTTCCCTTTTGAAGATTCAAGCATTTCTTTCCTCCCAACCTGTCCATAATATTGCTGCTCTAGTACATTTCCACAAGATTCTTCCCTCTTCTTTGGCCATCTGAAAACAAAAGGTGCAAAGAGATATGACGTGCTAGGAGTCCACCACCTCAGCATATGCATTTCTGCCACCCTCATTTGTGGATATGTTGTTTCTTGACTGCCCAAGACCTCCATGCCAACATTGGCTGACCTTGCAACTGTTTTATAGAATTTTCTTTTTAAACTAAGTGGTTCACTTATCAGATAAAACTCTTAATGCATCCCTCCACTTTGCCCATCTTGTTTGGGTTGATGATGAAAGTAAAATTACTAAATTGCCAATTTGGAATTCGATGGATTGACACTAAAAAGTAGCAAAACAATAAAAATGGTATGCTAAAGAACAATATCTCTTTTGGTCTTGTTACATCACTAGTCTCAACACACCAGATCATTCTCAAAATGAACTTTGCTGAGTGAAAGTTGAGAGAAGCATCTGAGGGTTAGGGTTCTAGAATAACCAAGTTAAAAGGGCCAAATGGTCTTATAAAATAACATAAGGGTAGTTTGGGATTTTAGAAATGTTTAAACCCACACGTGACAGTCATACGAGAATGAAGTTAACTGATAGAATGCTAGTGGCAGGGGAAAAGTGCTGGAATCCAGGGGGATTTTGTCACAAAACAAATTTCAGGGGGCTAAATTCACCATCACTATGTCACAGGGTGGCAGTCTGTTCTTTACCCTTTTTGAAATCATTACTTTCTATTTATGGTAAAATAAAATTTGATAGTAGGAACCCCAAGAGGAGAAAATGAGATTAAGAGTACGGAGATCAAGCTAACAGGACTACTGATTGAAAGCCCAGAATGCCAAACAATAAACATGAACTAATTGAAAGATAACAAGAAAAATTAACAAGAGCTATGGGAGAAAAGTAGATAATCAAGCATTTACAGATCTGGAGTTTAACTAACAAATCTGAAATCACCATCATCTACATTTTCATCATTGTAAAAGTCTTCTTCTTGTTGGTCTATTACCATCTTGTCATGAATTGAGTCCAAACAATACATCTAAACAATTCCAAATGCCAATATCATTTTCTAATGAGAGAGACTTAAAAAAGAAAAGCAAGGCGTTGTATTAACCAGATAAAAAATGGGATAGGTGCAAGAAAGAATAGCCCCTATCCCCTATATGGTAAGGAAAGGCTGTGCATTACAAAGAGGAATAAGACTCTTCAAAACAATAAATACATTCTTGAAGAGTCACCGAATTATCTCCATAGCTTCTCAACAGAGAAGCAGTTCTGATAAGATGCATCTCTAAACACCCTAGTAGTCATTAAACTGCAGTTGCTCTTTTTTACAATTCATCAAGCTGTATTGAGTTGTTCTGAACTTATTTCTCTGCTGACTTCAGACTGCGATTTTTGGATCTTTCTGCAGTCCCATTATTTTTCCTTTTTTTTTTGTTTTTGGGTCTTTTTGACATTCTTTTCATCAATTGTGGAGTTCTCCCTCTAACCCTCTTGGCCTCCATTTTGATTTAGTAGGCTTTCCACCTTTTGAAATATTGTGCCTTTAGCTAGACGTTGGAGCAGGTAGGAAGAACTAGATAGACTCTCTGAGAGATATAAGTGATGTTTCCCTTAGTTATTGTGCATGCTGTGTCATTCCTTATGGGTTAAGCTTTAAAGGGTTTTGATGGTGGATTTTGTTTATAAATTGACCTTCTGTTTTTAGTGTATGGGGGTGTGCACTACTGGTAAAGTGATACCTGTTAAATTCTCATGAATACATCTACCTTTTTAATAAATTTCTTTTTTTCCTGCTTTTCTTGATAGGTAAAAGGTAATATTATTAAGTTTTTTTTGATGAATAAGGTAATATTGTAAAGTTGGAATGGGTAGAAAGCTGTATGAAACATATACAAGTATGGCTTACATATATGCATCTGTCTTTATGATAAACATAAAATGCATGATGGTTATTGCCAACTTGATGTGATAGAACCAAAGCATGGCAATGGCATGGAAACTGGAGTCCCATGTCTGTCTAGGAGTTTGACCTGACAAGATAAAACACCCGGACTTTAGTACACAGCCAAAAAATAGTATTTACTATTAAAGAAGTCCATATATTCTGTAACATCATATACCTATATGAAATGGACATAGATAAAACTAAAAAGGTTATCTTTTCTCCCCTGTATAGTTTCCTACCTTGAGACACTATAGGAGACAAAGCAAAATTGTGCCTAGAAGTTTCCTTTAGAAACTATAGTGTCAAAATCTGAAGCCTGCCAATCATAATATATTGGTTCTAATGGATTCTCTACAATCCTCTTGTTGTCCAAGGTACAGCTGTTGCATTCCTTTTGACAATGTTCAACAGATGACCAAAGTAAATGGGTCTTCCTGCTAAAGCTGTGCTTGGGCTAGGCTTTTTATCATGTATGAAATAGTCCTTGTACTAATCCAAGAAATACCAACACTGCTGACAGAAATGGGCCCATTTTCTATAGGCAGTAGAGAATGTAAGTGAAGATACGGTACTGCATTGATATCTCGTCCAACGAAAGGAACCACAAAAGTTTTTATGTAAGATGAATCTTTATGTAGGATTATGTAGGACATGTATGAAACTCTCAACCAGCTTGTTTATCACTATTTGGTGTTCCCCTAAATTTTTTTGTTGCATCTCTACTTTTAAATCCTAAATTTCCAATTGCACATTTCTGTCACTGTTGATACCTTTCATTGTTCAGTCCATCCATTGCAATTTTTTTTCTCCTTGAAAAATGGGCTTTACAACCCTTTTAAATCCCTCTCCTTTTCTACTTCATTTTAGAAAAAGTTTTGGTACATGCAGCCTACATTGAGATCTCATTCTGCATCGTGCTTTTCTATAAATCAATTTACGTACTTGTTGTGATTTTTGAATGTTAGTTTGTTTCCATTTGTGATCTTGTTTTTATTGATTGCATATAATGCAGGTTGACTCTGTACATATTAAAAAGGTAGTAACAAGAAGAATAAACAGGAAAACTGGTTGCTAATTATTTGAGGAGCTAACAATCCATGTTGAATGTATTCTTTGATTCATCTAGTTTAAGAGCATAATTTATCGTCAGTTTGTCCTATTTTCACATCAAGTATATGCAGTCCCAATTTGCCAGGTCTTGTTGCTTACTCTGTCTTTAGCATCTATATTTGGTTTGTGGGGTCTGTTATTTTTAAGTTCATTTGTCTAATTCCTCTTCTGTTCAGGTGGCCGTGATGATGCAAAGCTGTCAATTCCAGCTACTGTTGTTCTTCGTCACATGTTTACACCTGCTGAAATGAGGGTAGCTATTCAAACCTTGCAAGAATTGTCTCATAACCTTGAGGAATTTGATAATGAACTTGGACTTCATTATGCCTACTCAGTTTCAGTAAACTTCTACAACTTTGACTGTAATGCATTGTTTTTGTTGTATTATAAATCAACTTTCTCTGTGCAGAGTGATGCGGATCTTCGTTCAGAACTGGAGGCAGATGTTAAAGAAGAATGTGTAAAACTTGGTCCAGTGGACTTGATCAGAGTATGTAAAAGAAGAATTGTCTCATATTCTCTCACATGGTTTTTAGAATGAAAGTGATTTAGTTGAAATCTAAAAGCATTTACAAGTATGAAAGCCTGTATGGTAGGAAACTATACAGGGGAGTTTCATACAATCCTGAAAAGCAAAAAACAATAACAAAATTATCAGCTTTTCACAAAATGAATTCAATGCAAAGTAAATTGGCTAGATCTATTCCCTTGTATTCTTTGTGGATAGAGAGCCAAGAGTGCACAATAGCGACCACCATCCACAGGACTACTCCTTTGGAGTGGATTGACTCACATAATATAGTGTTCCTTTTCACCCCACTTTGTCCAAACATACAATAAGGGATCCAGCTCCAAACATACTGAGACAATAAGTGGTATTAATAAAGTCATATCCGTGGTGTTTATGAATGGCCTATGTACAAACAACAATAAAATGGGAAGCTTACATATGAGCATTTCTTTTGCCTCAAATTGACCCAAAGTCCCTTTGGTCATGTCCCTTCATTTTAAAAGCTGAAAAAACATGCATGGTAGATTGTAGAAAGTACCAAATCCAAATGTACTGTGTAAATGATTCTGAAGTACCAAATAAAAATGGGAAATGTGGAAATAGATTATTTGTTGTTTCTCCATTCCTCCTCACTAATGGATAAGAGAACATTGGATGGTTTTGACTGGGATCAATTGGCAATTCCCTAGCTTAAGCACCATTTTTTATGTTGTGGCATTTTCATCAAATTTCTTTGAGAATTTTGTACTATCAGCTTCAATGTTCTATTAATTCAAATTTCACCATTAGTTGGAATCAATATTCTCTGACCTTTCCCGAAACAACCGAAGTGTGATGTGCTGCAATCTTTAACACTCTAGCATTGTAGACCTCTGCTGTTGTTCTTGTACTGAAGAAGCTTGTATTGAAAAAAAAATGGCACTACCTGTATCCCTTTCTGTTCATTTCTATTCTATTGTATTAATTACTGTCAGCTTTCTTATCAAGGCTACTAGTATCATCATTGATTAATTATTTGTACTATTATGCTGAAACACTAATTCATGACTTTATGCATAAGATTTATTTTGTTTATTTCCTCTTTTTGTTTCTTTACAGGTATGCGAGAACCATCCCCAGGGTGTTGTTCTGGTGAAATTTAAGGATAGAAAGGATGCTCAAAAGTGCATAGAATTGATGAATGGGAGATGGTATGTGCTTGCCCTTTAGCCATGAACATAAAATGCATTTCATTTGAAACTTCTTGCTCATCTGGCATGACTTGATGTTATCAGAATTGGTAAGAACATACAGAATTTGGGAGTACCATCATAGAAGAATTCTTAATGGCATGCATATGTTGCTTACAAACACAGAGAATAAATTTCTCTTGGATATAACTTATAACACATAAGCCTGCGTTAGCACAAAAGGTCATGTGGTTAGAATTCAATTCATGCAATGCTATGAGAAATATGTTAGTGAATTGATACTTTCATCAGCCTGGAGCTTAGGCTTATCTTAAGAGTGACTAAGGTAGAAGGGGAGAAATCTTCTCCCTGAAAAGGCAATATGCTGATAGCCATGCCTTAAAACCTCAACTGTTCCATTAACCACTCTCTCCAAAGGGCTGCTCTTCTGATAAAAAACCCTTGAGTTCCCTTCCAGCCACACCATCCACAAAACTGAAAGAGGAATGGTAGACCAAAAGTCACTCCCCTTTCTGCCCATTCCAGCAACCTTCCACCCCTATAACAGAGCCAGAACAGAGCATGGGAAACACCCCTGATATGATATGGCCTTGAAGAAACACGTCCACATCTTATATGTGAAACTGCAATGAACAAAACAGTAATTAGATGACTCTTCCTCTTCCCTGCATAATGGGCACATTGGGCAGAGGGAATCCAGTAAATTACACCCTTTCAAGAGTGAAGGTTAACAGATTTAGATTGAAGCAAAGCCAACAGATGGTTCAAAGTATCGATACGCCTCGTATCGGTACTTAGAAACAGACGGAAATACATTTTTTTAGTTTTTTTTTTTCGAACTGTGGTTTTTGGGGAACTAAAAATGGTTTTTTTTTTTTATTAAAAAAGGGTGGGGTCCTGAAACACCTCGGGACCCAAAAGATACGATACGATACGGTACGCCTGATACGGGGCGTATCCTATCGATTTTTTGAACCTTGTTCTGAAACTTATGATATTTCCCAATCATTTGAGTTCCTCCTGAATTCTGGAGTCCAAGTAACAGATTCCCCATCCACCACCGAAGCTTTCCTGGTACTAGCTAAGTGGAGTTGAGGGAACAATTCGTATAGAGGTCTTTCTTCACACCAGCAATCCACATCCAAAATTTCAGCCCGATTCCATTTCCAATTATGTATTTAATGCCATTAACAAAACAGGGATAGCCTTGTAGATCCCTCTCCAATCATTGCATCCTTAAGGGGGGGCTGAAAACTAGCTATTGAAAATTCCTAAGCTAGCCATTAGAGGCGCACTAACATATTAGTTGTTAGAAATCCATTAATCAAAATAACTAGTGGTTTGGTGCTTCATATTAATTTAAGCAGCATCAAATTTTATTCAAGTCTTTCAAGTGGGTTCTGTTGCCAGGGTACATTGAAAGGGATATATCTCCTTTACATTAGCTTGTAGTTGCCTTGTTATATTCTTTCTGTTTATGACTCATGGCCTTCTTTCCTTGTTCTTTCTGTTTGCTTCCTTCAGGTTTGGTGGTAGGCAGATTCATGCCAGCGAAGATGATGGTTCTGTAAACCATGCCTTGGTCCGTGATCTTGATGAAGATGCTGCTAGATTAGAGCAGTTTGGTGCCGAACTTGAAGTTGATTGAGTTGTGCCATAATGTTTAATGTCTTTCTAATTAAATCAGTTTGAAAAATGATTTTCTATTGAAATCACCCTTTGTTAGAGCGTTAGATGTAAAGATCTAGATGAATTTTGAATTTATGTATCAAAAGCAAAAAGTGCCATCTCTAATCCCTATAGCATGCATGAATTCTTGTTTCCTCGCTTCGCTTCACCCGTTCCCCCCATCGCCGTCTGGCTCTAGTACTATTAATGTGGTAAGAAACATATCGGAAACATAGTTGCCAAGGCATCCAGGCAATTTTGGGATGCAAACAATGGGTTACCTGGTCACTTGGGTGTAAAGAATTTCATAAAATAAAATGCTGAAATTTGTCAAGTTTTCTAGTTTTATATTTAGATGCATGTTAATTGAAAATAGCAATTCTCTTTAAATTCTCTCAAAATATGGAAAATTATTTCATCTTTGAAACTTTTTTTTTTTCCTGAGAATCGCTCCTTTGATTCGTGTTAATAAGCAATTTTTCATATATTGTGCATGCCAATACTATATATATATATAGTTCTACTGGCACTAGCAGAGATAGCTGCTTGTATATCAAACTAGCAGACGGTTGGTGTGACTGACACGGGTAAAGCAACTGGTGAGGATGATCTGTGTCACTGTGGGGATAAAACAGGCTAGTCTTGTGCAACAGTTTTCAGAACTTAAAATTAGTCGTATTTATACTTTTGTTTCCCTATTTCGCTGAACGTATTCCACCATTCTTAGGAGGTTTCATCCATTATTTGTCCTGAACATAGAAATTTGGGGTTTGATAATTTGTGTTTTCTAATTAAAAGTAGGTATTGTATATATGTTAAAAAATATTGAAAAATAATGAAGGAAAATTTTCTCAAAGCTTTGAAACCTCTAATTGTGGTTCGACATGGCTACTGAAACAGTTGTTTTTTAGTAGCAAAGAAAGTGGTTTAGCTGAAGATGTGGTTTTAGAGGATGGAAATCTTCAAACTCATGGCACGCTTGCGAGGGTCTGGATCTAAGTAGGCACATGGTATGCAAGTTGAACGAGTACTTAACATTTGACAATTGTCAAAAGTTGTTTTTAATCTTTTCAAGGGTAGGCTGGGGGTAGGGGTGGATTTGAGCTGAGCTGAGTCGAATATTTGGTTATTTGAATTTGGCTCGTAGAAATAGTGTTAGGTTCAAGTTCGATTCAAGCTAGACTTGAGATCGAGCTTGGTTTGGTTCAAAAGCTCGAAGTTCAGGTATGACTCAGCTTGAGATTGATTGCAAGCCAGCTTTTTCTAAAAAATAAAAATTATATATATAAAAATAATTTTTTATTTTATATATAAAAATAAGAATTATAAAAATTATTTACTATTATACAGAAAAAATAAAAATATTATTATATATATAATAAAATTTATTTATTATATATATATTTGTGTGTGTGTTAAAAATTATTTATTTATTATACTATGCCTGATTAGCAAACGAGTCTATATATCGGGCTTAAGCTTAATTCGAAGCTCAGTTTAAACTGAGTTGAGCCGAGCTTTTCACGAGCCGAACTCAAATAGCTCGTAAAAAACCCGACTCGTGGCCACCACTAGCTGGGAGTATTTTAAACGACAAGTGTCAAAATTTTTTAAGTAATCATTAAATGTGTTTACAATTCTATGCCTACCTGATCCAGACTGCGAATTGTTAAATTGAAAAGTTTAGGATGCCGATCACAAGCAGTTTGGATTTCTTCTCATATTTACTTCCAACTTCAGTCGCAAATCCAATGCCAACATGTGATGGATTTGATCCATTGGATGAAAGGTTTGAATTGAATATCAATTGGTTTGGAAGTTGGAACTAATTAATCTGGATCACTTGAAGGTCATAGCACATTGTAACTATAGATTGAACCTCTTGAACATCTTAGTGTGCATCCATAAATCAAGGTTCAAAATCCCAATGTATATATATTGCTGTATATTGTACGATATTGATATGTATTAGTTTTTCAACCCATTGAAATACCAAATATAGGGACTTTGGGGGGTTCTTTATGTTTAATCATAATCCCTCTCGACATGTATATTGTGAAAAATTCAGGCAGAATAAATGAAAAAAAATAGAGTTCTGACCTTTTAAATTACACGATATGCCAAAAAATAGAAAAAAAACCAAAGTGTACATTTCTATATTTTAAACATTGCCAAAGTCATCATGAACCGACTTTGTAAGCAAAGAAAATCTAATCTTTACTACTATTATAAGTGTGAGTGATAGTCTCTTTCTGGGTCCAAAAATCATGGAGCGAGTGGCTTAAACTGGGTGGTAAAAACAATAAACTTTTTGATACTGCCACTACAATCCGAAGGAACAAAAATAGAATCCTTGGAGTAAAAGATGAAATTGGTAACTAGATTTATGAATGAAATAATATTATTGATCATTTTTGTACCTTTTCTGAAGATAGATTTAAAACCAAAGGTACTAGAGGCATTGAGGAGTTTACTAGTGATATTAATCCTTGCGTCTCGAGTGAAATTAATCAGAACATATCTATGGAGGTGTTTAATAAGGAGATATTTACCACTCTGCAATCAATCCAAGACCTCAAAGCCCGATGGATTAAATGCACTAGTTTTTAAATTCTAGTTAGTGATTGGGGACTGTCTACAAAGTTGTGAAGGCTTTTTTCCATTCAGAGAAAATGAATAGAGCCATTAATCATTATTGCCATTCCCAAAAATAAGAACTCAAATTTAGTCAATGATGATAACTGTCCAGTTAGTTTGTGTAACGTGGTGTATAAAATAATTTCCAAAATCTAGGTCAACCATATAAAGACTTATTTGGATGGCATCATATCTCCTTATCAAAGCGCTTTTGTTCCTAATCATCAAATTACTGTTAATATTATGATTGCTCATGAAATGTTTCACTATATCAGGAAAAAAAAAGTAGTGAATTATGACTTGCGGAGAAAGCTTATAGAGAAAATGCTTGTTAAATTTGACTTCCATCATCAGTGGATTGTTCGGGTTATGGAATTCACTAAATCTGCTTCATTCCATATTCTCATCAATGACACTCCTACAAGAGAAACTTTTCTATCTAAGGGAATTAGACAAAGATATCCTATTTCCCCCTACATTTTTATGTTATGTATGGAAGCCCTGACCTCAAGACTTAAAGAGAATCTATTATGGAGGAAAAGCTAATTGGGTGTAAAATCTCAAGAGGTGGGCTTAATATTCCCATTCTATAATTTGCCAGCGATTGCCTCATTTTTGCTAAAACCTCCATTAATGCTTGTCTAAAGATTAGAGAGATTCTGGATAATTTTGCTATGGCATCAAATCAGCATCCAAACTTTTCAAAATCTGTATTGACCTTCTCTAAGAATATATCCAATAGATTACAAAGAATCATGGCTAAAATTATTAAAATCTCTCTTGAGAGAAAATTGACCTCGTATTTGGGTGCTTCTATTCTGGAGGGCAGAGTCACAAAAGAAATGTTTAAGGGTCTTAGAGAAAAAATGACCAACAAGCTTGCTAAATGGAAAAATAAAATTCTCTTTTTCTTTCTAGTAAGCTAATCCTTGTTGATTCCCCAATTTATTATGAGTCCTTCAAGATTCCAAACACAGTGACTGATAACCTTGATGGAAAGCAAAGAGATTTTATTTGGACTAAATCTAATGAAAGAAAACCTATTCACCTGTTGTTAAGTTGCTATGGCACATCTTAACTCACCCAAAGAATCTATGGGTTAACGTTGTGATAAATAAATATTTAAAGAATAATAATTTTTGGAATGCTAAAGGCTAAAGCAAAGAAGGGGATATCGTGGGCTTGGAGGGGTATCCTTGCCTCCAGTGAGGTGATCAAAAGAGTAGGAACCTTAAGGTGAGTGAGGTTACTGATCATGACCACATCAGGACGCTTGTGCAAGAAATCCAGCCCATATTCCCATCCCCTCTTTTCCTAGAGAGGACATTATGGTGTGGAGACCGTCTCCTAATGGATAGTTTTCAATCAAGACAATTATGACAGAATAGCCCAATGAATGAGGCTCCCCCAATGCGGGGTCTGAGGAGGGACTGTTCTCAGCTCTGATTATATATGTGAGACTTGTGGAAACCTCAACTTCATCCAGATCTTCTAGTTTGATTGGTCATGAGTTCCATTCTTTACCCAGAATATATATGTCTTCAATATTGGTCGCTTGTATAACAGAAGTGTGACTAGTGGGAACCTCCAATCCTTGGGAACATGCCCTATTTATAACCCGGTGCAAGACATATTCCCTTCTGATCATCACCTTCCTCTTCTCCTGGCGTATAATGATGGCTAATAAAAATGGATTTGAAGCTGTTTGTCATGTTTCACAGACTAGCTTCTAGTCTTGTATCATCAGTAGTTCAATTATTATTTGATAAATTCTTCCTTTCCCTCTAAACTAACACAAAAATTGGGGGATGCATGTGGTTCTTCCATCTCAACTTCAATTCTGTTGATACCTTACTTTTTACTGATCAAAAACATCTCTTTAACCAGAAGGCAGCATGTAGATGCAGATGCTCTAGAATCTAGCTAGTTCGGTGATATATTATGGTTGAGTTTGGTACCATTAATTGCTTTTATACAACACCTACGATCCAATTCCCATTTGTGTGAGGCTGCACATTTATGCAAGTGTGCATTGTTTAAATCCCTTTTGGCCTTATATATAATGCACTTATTACATGTTTTACACTCTGGAATATTAATACATAAAATAAAACTATTTATAAATATATCAAAGCAGACACACACACACACACATACACCATGGCATTATCATGCGCTTATTACCAAGTTTTAATTTTAACAGTAGAATTAATACATAAAAAGAACAAAAGTTCTTATAAATATATAGCTAGAGGTAGTTCTGTTCTGTCTTCTCTCTTCATCATCTGGCCTGCATGCATATAAATCTTCTTTAGAGTTTAGACCAGCTTCAATGGTCGCATCATGGCATTGTTTTCGCCATCCAAAACCTGCAAATTAAAAGTTAATGAACAAGAAAACAAAATCGTAAGTCAGATCACCATTATCCCGCATCAAATAAGCCAAAGAAGGAATTAATATCCAGAGAGTAATAATTAGTACTCTTACGTTGAAATGGTAGACATATCCGGGTTCAGCTTTAATGTTCTTAAGAGAAGGCTTATTGCCGTCCGGGAACTTGACGACGACAGTGGTCTGGCATCCTGCTTCTATATTCACCGTGTTCTTCCATGCTTTCTGGTAGTTGGGTATCGCCACCTCTTCCCTGCTTACAAATTTATTCACTTTGCAGGCGGTGGCGTTGCCGTCCTTGCCCTTCAGCATGCAAGCCTTGAAATCAGTCACATTGCTCACCAGCTTCACAACCTTAATTGCCTGAAACGTAGCCAAGTGTATGTGCAGAGGACGATTTTCCTTGGTCAGATTAATCACTTCCCACACCTCGCTCTTACCTGCTTTGGGTTTCTCCGTCGCCGGATCCTGAAACTTTCTCCCGTTGATGTAGAGAAATGGGTTTTTGCCACCTTTGGTCGACGGCTTCTCGTACATGGTGATGTATCTCGTCGTCTTCGCGCCAAGTCTGGTTGCCTTCACGGAGTTCGGTTGAAAGTCAGGAACCCTGGAGTTATCAGTCGGTGGCTTCTGACCTTTGGGAACCACAACTGTAAACTGCATGATCCTGTGAAACTGATTCTTGCCTTTCGGGTACGGGTACGGGGCGTCGTTGATTAAATGGATTCAGGTGTTATTGCGCAAGTTGGCGAAGTCGATTATCACGTCGGCAGTCTCGAACGGTGCTAGGAGTATCTGGCTTGTCCTGACCGGCGATGGGAGGTAGGACGAGTCGGATCCTAACTGGATGAAAGGGGGTGCCTGGTTTTGGTTTGGCAGCTGGAGATGGAACCGGAAATAACGTTTGTTCGAGACGTTGGTGATACGGAAACGATACCTCCGTGGTTGAACGTTCAAGAACGGCCAGGCCTTGCCGTTAACTATGATGACATCCCTGTCGCCGGTCGGGTCTACGGTCATAGATTCGCCGTTGCCTGAGAAGCTCCGATCGAAAATGACCAAGTGTCGTTCGAACTCCGGTAAGAAGTTGAAGATTCTGGTTTCTTGGTCCGGGTCACGGACTACGTAAGCGCCAAAGAGGCCGGCGAGAACGTTGACACGTGCTAACCCGATAGCAAAATCGTGGTAAATGAGGTTCCCTGGGCCGGCGGGTGGTTCGTTGTTGTAGGTGTAGGTTCTGGTTTTGAATGCCGGTCCGGTGTCATTGAATTTTTGGGTGAACCAGGCAAGGGGGTGACCGTCGATCTGTGGGTCCTGAACCCCACCGTGGAGATGGACGACGGTTGGGATGGCACGGCCCTTGGGAGTGGAGCTGAAAAGGTGAGTGTCGCCAAGGTAATTGGCCCACGTCACATGGGTTGGTTTTCCCGGTCGGGCCTCAATTATTGGACCGGGCACGCTGGCTTTGTCCTTGGATACACCATACGCGAACACATTGGTGGGACGTAAATCACGGTGGAATTTCTGCAAGAAAAAGAACACAGATAACATGTAAGATGTAACTATACACCTCCATCTTCCACGGTAAATCAGGAATAAAGTGTGTGATGAGTTCCACGTGGCTGATGATTTGTTACCAAATCAGCAATGGGACCCATGTTGAGACTTGAGCGGTTCATACCCATTTCGTCGGGAACATGCCCATGGTGAGTCTATCCGACCCGGATTTAGCTTTGGGGTTCCAATAACCGTAGACCGTGGGCAGTTTTGGGAGTTCATCCACGAACTGTTGCAAGGCTTTGGCCTGGTAAGTGATGGTGCTTATGAGCAAGGTAACTGCCACCAATAGCTTCTGCATCTTCACTATTCTTTTGCTGTCCATTCTGTCTGTGATCCATTTTCAGATTTTGAAATCAAAACATCATCTTCACTATTGGGATTTTAAATTAAAAAATAAATAAATAAAAATCCATTGACCACCCACTTTGTTATAAAACCAAAAACCAAAATTCATTGACCCATTAACCCTGTCAGGAAACTTAATAATAAAATAATAACAATAAAAGGTTATTGTGAAGAGGTTGGATGAAGGAAATGGAGAAAGCATGGTAAATCAATACTCTTAAATTTTTTTAACACCTATCTCTTGAAATACTTCCAACCTAAAGATAACTTTTAACAATTGTCAGAATATTTATAAGATGCTCATCTGATGTTGTGCCTACAGATTCATTCAGATTCAGTCCCCAAATGTACGAATAAAGAATTAGTGATAGCAGGGATGCACAGGCATGAAACTCATCAAATTGAGAGATAGTGATCCCAATAGAATTACTGTGCTCATAAACCTAATTAAGGCTGCATTTGGCATTTCTTATTTTAAGGACTTAACTCCTTTTTGCAGTTAAAAACTGTGTTCAAAAGAGTATCTTATCTGCAAAAGTAAGAAATCCTTAAAATGAGGAATGCCAAATGGAGCCTAGCTAAACCCCAGCAGAAAACTGATATGATGATGATGTAGCATACCTACTTTAATTACATATCTTTGGGAGAGAAGTATGACAATCAATGAGATTGATGATAAATGACTGCCACCATTACCTGCCCTATAAATAGGCAAACATGGCCACTGGTTTACCGCATTTGCTTCCCCCCTGTTTGAGAATAGAGAGATCTGATTTGTTCAAATTATGGGTAAATCAGCATTGCAAAGCTAATCCAAATAAATTAGCCTGCTGCGACTCAGTTTAGTCAAAGCCGAGTTGAAATTAAAAATAATTATTTGATTTGTTTTTAAAAAGGAAGAAAACAACTGCATGTATCGGATCATCCGACTCCCTTGTTTTAACAATAATTAATAGTTATGGAGTATCATTCATTTCTAATTAATTATTAAGACGTCAGAGTAATGGCTGCATTAATTGGCTTAAACAAACCTTGAGATTGCAAGTTTGGAACTGTTGAAGCTTTTATTTACGTAAGAACCAAAACGGCTGGACCATTTCTTTTTTATTAAATTAGATGCTCGATCGATCGTATTGATGTTTTGACTATTACATCACGCCTCCATTTAATACTAATACTATTAAGGGCTATAAACAGGTAGCTACATAAAAACTGACATGCATTCAGATTTGAGCTATGGAAACCTCACGTCAGAACAAAGACCATTTCTTTTCTTGCTGATGATGGTTAGTTTTGGAATCGGTCTCCGTAAAAGACATGTAACATGCCACGGATGCAATTTTGCAAGATGGGCTGGATTTACTTTAGTCTAGGGCTGATCGTGGGCCAGGCCCGGGCTAGGCTTAGCACCAATTCTAAGGGCTTTAAGTTAGGCCCGGGCTCGACCCGGCCTGCACCCCGGGTCTAGATTGCAAGTCCAATTCCAGCTCTACACAGGCCTGGGTCAGGCTTATAGGCTTTCTAGGCCTAACTATAAAGACTTTAAGCCCATGAAATCAAATAATACAATTTAATTTATTTAAAATTTTTAATTAAGTAATACGTAAATGTAATACACACAAAAAAATTACACAAGCCAAAGTTAAATTAGGCTTGGCTAGGCTTTAGGCCTATGGCACATAGCCTCATTTAATTATTAGTCTTGAATTAGCTTGGGTTATCTATCTTTTGAGGAGCGCTTTCATTTTCATTTTTGAGCAATGTGAGATTTGGAACAACACTAAATAATTAGTGTTGTTTTGCCTTCACCTATATAAGGCTTTGCTTAAGAGGGCTCATACTTGAATTTACTCAATTGTTGGCATACGTGTTAATACATTTCAGTTCATAAATATTTATTTATATGTTAAAATAAAATGTAAGATTTTTATATTTATTTATATAATAATAAACATATATATTATGGGCTTGGGCTCAGGCCGGGCTATACACAAAAATCTGGGCCCAAGCCCAAAATTTGTGAGCTGGGCCTGGCCGGGCCAAGAATGACCAGCCCTACTTTAGTCCAATTATTTTACTTGTTTGTAGTGTAAATTTGGTTTGCCTTGGTGTAAATCTATAGGGATGCAAATAGGTTGAATGTAAATCTTGGTTCACTTTTGCTTAAATTTACTTTGTTTTATTTGCTTGTAAGAAAGTAACGAAGGCCCTGTTTGGTACATCTTTCCACGTGAGCTGTCAGTTTTTTAGAAGTCTGGCAGCTTGCATTCCAGTCTTCCTCCGTTTGGTTGGAGGGAGATCTTTCCGCCGAAAGACTATGCACCGAAGGATGCGAGAAGCTTGATTTTAACTTATTTTGAGAAGCTAGAAATGGAGTTTTTCACCTTTTTCATCTGCTCAAGTCTTGTCTTTGTACGAAAAGGCATGCCTCCAACCAAATGATTTATGGGCTGCCAAGATCTTTATTTAAAAGCTCACACCTGTCTTTTGGCTGTTAGATCTTCCAAAATATCTTTCAAAATAGACTTGTCAAACAGCACCTAAAACAATGTACTTCCTACTTTAAATGAAAGAGAAGGGAGACAACATGATATTTGTTTGGAAGGAATAAGGTAAGAAGGAAACTGATGTTATCCCCCCTTTATGTTATACAGAAGTAAAGTGAGAGAGAGACGAAGGTATAAGCAAATTTTGCATCAGCCTTCTATATGAAAAATTTGCACAAACTACCAATGTGTGCAAATGAGGCAAAACTAATTTTGCATTAGGTTATATATAGTGTAAATCATAGTTACAAACAACCTGTGTTCTAAACTGAACCAAGCACAAATTTGTATCTAGCTCAGTGTTTGCATTGCAAACAAATAGAGCCTATAGTGTATTTTTCATACTTCTTTAAAGAACTATTTTATACATGCAAATTTGAAAAGTTATGTACATGGTGCTTCAGTATTATCATACTTAATCATGTTACACCTAAAAAATTATGTACATGCATGCATAATTTATGTATAAAAACAATAAATCCATATGCCTATGTCAGGACGAGGTCAAGCCTTAAAGTATTGATATCTATTCATAGTTCTTGGGGTGGGTATTAATTGGTTAGGATTTGGGCACATGATGAGGCCAAATTTGACCACCAACCAGAGCCAGCCATATTGTGCTGAGATTGAAGATTGTCCTCATGCATAGGTTTCTTGGGCCGGTTCGAAAAGTTGTTTTCTAATGGGACTAAAACTCCCTGGGGAGAATGGTACATCTACTATAAGTATATGTTTGACATCGATCATGTAGTTGCAGCATTGTTTTTTGAGAAAAGGGTGCTATTGATATATGGTGATAGTGCGTGATCTGGAAGCTCCTAATTGGAGGATGATTTGAACCTTATTCGTATAACGAGCTGAATCAAGCTATAAGACAGAGGACTAGAGCACCCGGGGCGGTTAACCCGACGAGGTCGCTCCGATACTTAAGTTAGTACTATGTTGTGATTGTGAGCTAGAATATGAGTGCTAGAGAGCTTGGATGCAAGTAATCGCGCGTACGTGGACCATGGAGGGGTTGACGCCTTTATATAACCGAGTTATTGCGGGTGTCCTAGAACAATTCCGAGATCTACAACCTGAATGGGCAAGATCCGTTCCCGCTTTAGTTGGGGAGTAACGCATCAGTCAATGAACTTCATTATCGCCACCGATTTGGATGGGGAGAAGATAAGTCTTATCGTTATGCGGTATGACCCCGCAATATCTGAAGTCTGCTGGGAAGCTACTAGGATTTATTATGTATCACTTCGGTTCCTAGGCCCCAAACTCAATTAGTAGCCAAGGTGAGCTGTTTTCGAAGTGACTTTACTCCGAGCTCTGCATAGTGCTGACTAGGCTCCCCTTGCTGAGTTATCATCCTAAATGTAGATCATGTCCACGTGACTTTTATTTACCAGATCATGCCAAATTACTCCTCATCAATTGCCCCCCACTCCTTGTGGCAGGGGTCCTAACCCGGCGCGGGGAGTTCACGACGAGGTTAGGTGGATTTTGCACGAAATCTAGGTGATGTGGAGGGGGAGTCGTTGGTCGGACGCGCTTAACCGTTCGGTTCAACCAGGAAGTAACCCAGATCGCGTACTTGGTAAGCGCGGATGTCAAGCTGTTTATATACTCCATGGACGCCAAAACACGTGCTAAATCGATTTCAACCTCGGGGGGTGTGCAACTGGTTTCCTTAGGAGCCATCGGATCGTGTTGATCTTGACTATTGATTCCCAGATATATTGGCTATAAATAGGGGCCAAAGGGCCCATTTTATTCGCCATAAGTTTGCAAATCCACAATCTTTGAGGTCGCACTCAAGTCTTCCAATTCGGTATTAGCCTTTTCTAGGTCCGAGGTTGCCTCCTTTTTTTCGGTCTTCCTTTTGGTGAGTCCACCTTCCTTTGCTTTTCCTTTTGATTCTGTTGTCCTTTCCTTTAATATGTCTAGCCTTAGCTTAGATAGTCTTTTAGACGAGAGTGGCGAGTCCGCTAGGGCCGAGGTGGGTACCTCGGCTCAGACCGTGGATCCTCATCCTACCGAGGTGGTCACTTCAGGACATGATGCAGTCCTCAGTCCGCCCGAGGTGAACTCACCTCAGTGAGAGCGAGAGGCCTCTAGTAAATCAGCTTCCACCTCACACCGAGGTCGGCTGCCAAACAACTTCGGCCCATCGATAATGACGGCGAACAGGCTCCTAGCCTTAGTAGCCCGGTACAGACTCCCTAACGACCTTGTATATAGCATCCCCTTAGGCAACTTTCCTTAGGATCATGATCATAACGAGATTGTGATCTTCGAGGAGCAGCTCGTAGCCGGTCTGCGTCTTCCACTTCACCCTCTTATAATCGAGATCGTTAAATTCTTTAACATTACCATAGACCAGCTACACCCAAATTCTATCCGTAATATCGTAGGAACCATTTCTCTTTTTCAGGATTAC